TATATATATATATATGTTTTTCAAAATAATAATTTTTTACATGAGATTATGACGTAAAAAAATAAAAATAAAAGGTATAGAAAAGGCGATAGATATTCGAAATCAAAGAGCTCTGGAGACAATAATCACTATCAAATTGGATGAAAATCTCAAAAAGTAAAAGGTATGTATAAGAGGAAAAATAGCGTATAGGAGGGGGGTTCACTTATGTTTCTTTAGTATATTTTAATTTATGCATATGGATTTTGGGTCGGATCAGTTGGGATCAGGTGAGTTCGGTCCTTTTTAAGTTGGCTTAATTTTTATTAAATTAAAAAAAAATGTGGAGCAAAAAGTTATTGCATCAGAAAGTTATATGTCTTTGGTGGAAAAAATCATAATTATATGACCATTTGTGAAATTTATCCCACCTAAAATATTTTCTAATATTTTATGCTACTTTCATCAAATTCAGAAAAATCTTTAATATATACTACATGCATGATAAGATATGGTAAGCTATTATAAATATATAGTACTTACCGTTAAATAATTAAATTTATTCTCTAATCAGAAAGTAAATTTTGAGATTGATTTGGGAATTGCATTGTTTAATGAACATTCACGACTTTGTGATACTTTAGCCTTGTTGGACAGTATAGTGGACACATATTAGCAATATAATTAAAAGAATTACTATTTTTTAAATAAGGTAAGTAATATAATTAAAAGAATTACTATTTTTTAAATAAGGTAAGTAATATAATTAAAAGAATTACTATTTTTTAAATAAGGTAAGTAATATAATTAAAAGAATTACTCAAATTGAAGCAGATTCAATTACTTTGCTAGAAAGGATGTTGTATCGCAATTACCTTGTATTTTGTAATATAACTAATAAAAGGTTTTGATTTTATTACACCTCTAAAATTTTGATGCTAAACTAATATGTAGATTTCATAATTTTTCTACCATAAAAGGGAAACACATAAAATATTGTACAGTTTAAACTTTAAATTGGGGTAATATTTATGTTTTACCATATACAACCAAATTATTACCTCAATAAAAGTGTGAACACCCGATTTTTCAATTATGTACACTTATTTATATGTTACCATGTCTGGAAATGATAGATGGATTTTCTATATCCTAAAAGCAGGTCACTACATATATAGAGAGAGCTACCCTCACAAGCCTCCATATATACTTTATTTCATACCTTTAAACTTTCACATTTGTAAAAGAAAGTGTATTTTATGTCTTCCCTGAAGAATGGCTAGGAAGAAAATCAAGATGGCTAGGTTGGTCGATGAGCGCAGAAGATCAGTTGTTCTTCAAGAAAGGATGGAAACTTTATTTAAGAAAGCAGATGAGCTATCCATTTTGTGTGGTGTAGAAATTGGTATTGTTGTTTTTAGAACTGATAAAATAAATAATGAATCTGTGTGGCCATCAAGAGACAAATTTAAACAACTCTTGCTGAGGTTTTTAGATAAACCACTGGTAGAGAGGCTTAAGAAGTTGACAACACACGAAAAGTTTCTCAGGAAAGAGATGGAGAAGAATGTGAGAAAAATTGATCAGCAGAAAGTTGAAGAAAAGGAAATGGAACAACTATTTAAGCAGTTATATCTTGGGGAAAAGACTATCTTTGAACTGGATAAAAGACAACTTATAGGTGTTGGCAACTTGGCTATGAAAGCGAAAGAGAAGGCTGTTGAAAGGAGAATACGACTCAAGTTACAAGATCGTGTTTGGTTACCAATTGATCACATACCACTTCGAGTGGCTCCACTTAATGTACAAGATCAATGTCTTCAGTTACTTGTTGATGATCCTTTGGCACTTCGATTGGCTCCACTTAACGTACAAGATCAACGTCTTCAGTTACTTGTTGATGATCCTTTAGCACTTCGATTGGCTCCTCCCGGGAATTAATGAATATGGTTAATCACAATCAGAGTATTAGCGCGACAACAATAAAAGGTTTATTTGTCCAACTTCGAGATGGAAGCTTCATATTCTTTGCCCATAGGAAAGCTTACATGTGCAACTATCAAGATATTTGATGTGTTCCATTTCTCTTTAATTTAGTTGCTTCTTTTGGTTTCTTATTTGTTTTGTTTTCTATTTAGCAACAATTGTTGTTCAAAAGTCACTCAAAAGCTTCAGATTTACAAATGAAGAGTAGTGTTATATGAATTTTCATATGCAAATTGTATGAATACCTAGTTATGGATTTTCAGATGCAAATTGGCCAAATTATTTTCTTCAACAAAGAGATCGACTACATGCTGCAATATTTATCTAGGAGAAAATTGCATGTCATGGCCATCTAGGGAGAAACACACTGTTGCAAGATGGAGTACTATAGCAGAATATAAAGCATTAGCATTTTGTTTTACCAACATGGATGATAAACATCCTACATGGCATTGAGATGTATCTTAAAACTACAATATTATCTTGTTATAATCTCAGCGCACTTTAAATGACTACTAATTGTTATGTATGCATGCTAAACTTATTAAGCATGTGGATCTTGATTATCATTTCTTATTTTTTTTAAAAAGGTTGCTCGAGGTCATTTTTACTCATTTGGTCGACAAAACATTAATCAACTAGCTGATATTCACAAATTATTGGGGAAGGAGTTATGAGTTAATTCAAAGTAGATAGATTAGCTAGAATCTCCCTATGTTATTTTCCTTCTTAATTTCAAGTTAAAATATTTTTATACGCATAAATATACAACTACTGTTAACTTGTTATACATAGTGGAAGAACGAAGCATCCTGTTCCTCCTTGCATGCTGTAATCATTAAAAAAAAAAAAAAAACATTGGTAGCTCCAACTTTAAAAGTTAATCAAATTAACTAACAGGAAAAAATATGATTTCTTATGTGGCAAAATTTTCCCAAATTTAAGTTACTTCAAGTAGATGAGACTCCTCTCCGTTTCAGGTTTCTTTAGGTTATTAGGTTTTTATATAAATTTATACCCGTATCGATAATTACCGATAATTAAGGTAGGTTTTTTATTTTACAAAAATATACCGAAAAAATATCGAACCGTACCGAATAAATTTTACATTTGAAAAAAATATTTATATAGTAAGTTTAAAAATAATAAAATATTAAATTTTTCTTTGCACCTTGGAATTGTGAAAACGGTTCTAAGTCAACGAGTAATTTAACTCAAAATATTAATTCCTAAAACATATTATGCTACTTCTACTTAAAACGGTTAAATATGTTTCCTTTCATATAATCTAGATTTATGTTTTTGAATATTTAATCTTCTATAAACTTTATTCTTGAGTCTCATCTTGGTTAATATCTATTCACTCGTGTAATTTATATTTTCTTTGTCTTTGATTGATTTTTTTTACGTTGTTGTAGTATAGTCGATGGATCTATACTCTAGCCATCTTTTATGTCTAGAGAGTTTTGCTAAATCCTATAAAAGAACATATGTTATTGCATTCTAGTTCTACAGGTGACTTTTATATGACATTTAAAAAATACCGAAAATTAACCGAACCATGATACCGAAGAGAAACCGACATGATTGGAACGGTTTCGAAAAGTATAATTTTGGTACACATAATAGAATGATCAAAAAATTGATATTGTACAAATTTTATAAAATAATCGGCCGAACCGAATCATTGACACCCCTACTTTAATCAGAAAGTAAACTTTGAGATTTATTTTGGCAATTGTGTTTAACATAAAATTATCTTCATAGGCCAAATAATTTAAATTTATATTTTTAGGGCACAAACAACCAGTTTGATCCACTTTCTCAAATATAAATTGCAAGAATTATTAATAATTGCAGATAAGAAAATCAAATATAAAGAAAAAGAAAGAGAATTCTTATTCATAAAGATAGATCATCTTCCTAGGCCACGTTCTGATTTACTTGAATACAGTGATAGAGAGAGTTGTAGTAGAATGATTATTTCAGATGAGATACAACGTAGGAGAAGTGGGAATTTAAATAGCAAGACTATTTGTGATATTTGTTCCCCTAATTTCTCACCTTCCTGTTACCCCAATTAACGGTGGTTTTTCCCACGTCAAGTTGAGGATTTGTAACTGATCAGTGAATTATACTAAATCCCGCTTTACTCGCAATTGACCGATTCCTCTTATATCCGTACTCGAAAATATTCCCGAAAAGTAATTTCTATAAGAGTGGTCCATGTATAAAATGATTCTCAGCTTGGCTGGTCCCCGATTCATTCTTTTCACGACCTTCTAACTACGGCAGTTTATAATTTGGTAAATATCGAATTATCATATCGAAATTAAAATTTTTATTATTCGGTATTCGATATTTTGATATTTGGTTTATGTTTAAAAACAAAATTGGTATTAGGTATGGTATTTGATATTTTAAAATAAAATATCGATACCGTACCGAAATATATATTATATTACACAATACATATTTTATTAATTATAACATAAGTATAAGAAATCTAAAATTTTAGTTTCCTTTATTCTTTAAGTTCATCAATTAACTCTAAGCAAGTAACAAAATATTTCTCTAAGTTTTCTCTCTTTAGGTTGGTATATGCTGGTTTTGGACAAAACTTTTGTCAACAAACGTTTTTTGTTTTGTACTTTTGAGTACTTTAATTAAGAATATTACCGTCTATGACTCTATGCACTAGTTAGTATTCAAACCGAATAAACCGAAATCGAAAGGAGAAAAATCGAACCATACCGAATTTAATTAGGTACGGTATTGGTATAGCATTTTACGAAACCGAATACCGAACCGAAATGTCTAAATACCTTACCATACCGACCGACCAGAGGCGACTCAACAACACTTGGGGCCTAAAGCCAAATTTTAATTGGAGGCCCTTCAATAATAATTTTAATAGATATTCTTATTTAGGATATATTTTATAACTTTTTGAGGTGCAAAATTATTAATTAGTTTTCTATAATCGATTTCTTCTAATCGGTTTGTGACTTGTTCATCTAAAAACACTCCCCTATAGTTTCGAATTTAGTTTTTCTATTGTTTGTGAAAAGTTTATCAAGATCTCTTTTTTAGATTTTATATTTCAACTCTTCTCCTTTTTTTTTTTAGAATAACAAGATTTATATTTTCTAGTTGTCATATTCAAATTTTAATAAATATTTAAAAAAATATACCTATGAAGTAAAAATAACAAATATAACAAATATAAGATAAAAAAAGATACTGAAAAGTTAGAATGAAAAAACTAGATTCAAGAAATATGAAGACTTAATTCCAAATTTCGTAATGCTGCTTCAAATATTTCTCGCAAACTTTAAACGTGAGAAAGAACATAGAATGAGACACAATTTAGTATAAGGAAAGTAATTTTAACTATATTTTTAAGAAGCAACATAAATTATCGGAAGTTTTGAATAACAAATAGTTCATCTTAGAAAAAGTAAGACAAAGTATGTAAATTGATGGAAAAGGTGAAATGAAAGATTGTAGCTCTTGCCTAAACCAAGAAAGAGAATGTAAAGGCTTAACCCGTCACTTATTCACATAGCTAAAATGTTGGTTTTTCTTTTATAAGAAAATTTTCATTTTCTTCTAAATAGTACTCAATATTTTTCAAATCATAAATAAAATATAAGCCTATTATTATAGAAAATGGGGCCCCAAAATTTGGGGCCTAAAGCAACAGCTTTAGCTGCTTTATGGTTAAGCCGGTACTGCGACCGACGAACACCCCTGCTTCTAACATAGTCTGGTGATTCTTAACACGTATTAAGAGTTGATTCGTCCACATGGTGAGTCCATTTCTTTACCAATAACTTTTGGAATATTCTCTAATGTATATTCGAAAAGTGGTAAAAAGCTTTTGTGGGAATTAAAAGCGTTTCTGATACGTATCATTCCCCTGCGAACATGCCCCTTGCTTTCACTTTGCACTCGTTCTTCCTCAAATTCATGGTCTACACGTATCATTCACTCTTGGTTTCAAACCGCAATTGACCTCGTGATAGAAGATCTTTACCGTCATTTCAATGTTTGCTTGGCCCATATAGCCCCAATTGTGTGGAGGGTCGTGCCATGCTTCTGTTTATTATCGAACTTGACTTTGGTAAATTTCATTCTTCGTCACCTTCGTTAATTTTATTCTCCTAAATTTTTCTGTGCTGGTGTGTTATACTTAACAACCGTGAAAAACGTGTTGTCGTCGACCCCGAAGATGACTATCATCGTGGGTGGTACAGAAGGTTCGTGGTCATACCTACTCGTGAGTTGATTTAATACGGCGATCATCCATTCCCTGAGAGTGGAACTTTGTCCATAAGTTTTATTATCACCTCTGAAGCATCATTTTTCTCTTATTTGTTGTTTTCTTGTTTTATATCATCTTTCTTGTACCATAGCTACTACATAGATAATTGGAGAGCACTACTAGAAATCAGGTGATTTCCGTCTAAGACTTTCCGACCGAAATCGGTCGGAAAAAATACCGACTGAAATCAGTCGGAAATAAGAGTATTTGGTCGCAAAAGTCAACAAAAATTTTCTGACAGCAAAAAAATAAAAATTTTGATCGATTTCGGTCGGAAATTGGTCAAATATTTGATCATACTTGTATATAATGTACAAAAATAATTATTTATTAAATTTTTTCCAAATTTCCGACCGAAATTGGTCAAATATTTGGTCATACTTGTATATAATGTACAAAAATAATTATTTATTAAATTTTTTCCAAATTTCCGACCGAAATTGGTCAAATATTTGGTCATACTTGTATATAATGTACAAAAATAATTATTTATTAAAATTTTTCCAAATTTCCGACCGAAATCGGTCAGAAATTGGTCAAATATTTGGTCATACTTGTATATAATGTATAAAAATAATTATTTATTAATTTTTTTCCAAATTTCCGACCGAAATTGGTCAAATATTTG